TTATTTTATGTTAATAATCCTCCAATTTGAATATTCACATTAGTTTTTTAGTTTCAATGAAATTAATAAATTTAACTTCGTTGCTCAACATGCAATCATACATGCATGTACATAGCATTACCGGTAAAATTACTTTATTTGCTTAAATGTAAAGTTTCTAGGATAAGGAAATTGCCCTGTAACTACTTAATTATTTTAAAAATCATCAGTAAATTATTGTTAGATTTTAGATGTATTAAAAAATTGGACACATTTTAATAGAAACCCTACAAATGTGCCGAAGTCATAAATCACAAATTTTGTTTCTACTAATATATATATTTCTCATGCACCCTATAGATGCTATAGTCACATAATAATAAATTAAATAAACTTTCTAAGAAATCTTTCTAGTCAATACTTCAAGGCTCAAGCACAATTATTTCAACGAATATTCAAACAATTCCAGTCAAGAATTTACTTTAATTTCCCCATTAGCTTCAAGATTCTATTTATTACCAAGTCTAATTTGCTTAACTCATTTGGTATGGTCTGTGTTTTCCCAATCATCACAATTAAACATTTTATGAAAATAAAATAAAGTAAATATATTTAAGAAGCTAAACAAATCTAGGTTGGGTCCAACTAATCTTAATGAAAATTAAGTAGATAGATTTTAGTCAAAGAAATTTGGTTGACCATCTGGACACCGTGTCCACTGTATATATATGCTGCTATATGACAACTACTTGCGCTAGGGATTGAAATACCAGTCAAAGATTATCATTTTTCATTGCATTAATTATTTAATTATATAGTATAAGATTATATAAGATTTTATTTAATGTTTATATATGGCTAGATTGAGGACCTATTAAGCTACTGAAACTAACACAATTGAAATATAACTATTGCAAATTTCTCCTCCACACCGCCAGTTTGTTATTTATTTAGCTTATACTCAGTGCCAGCTAATTAAAGTCTTCGCTATGGTAACAGTTTAAATGTACATATTAACATTAAGTACTATTTTACGGAAAACAATATAATAGAACAAAAAATAATAAAAAAAATATAAACAATAGTAAAAATCATAATATAATCATTGGAAACTTGTTCTGAAAAAGAATAACTAAATATTATTAAACAATTCCTTATATACAACGTTTGTGGTTTTTTCATCAACAGAATATCCATCACTACAAATCAATATCTTCAAATTAAGACATATAATGGTTTTATTTTTTTAAATAGTTATTGTATTTTGTACTATAGATCATATAGGAAATTTAAAAAAAAAAACTAAAAAAATACTAACAAAATATTACAAAATAAATAATTATATTTGGTTGATAAATAATGATATGTGCCAAATATTTAAGATATTTGAACAAAATGACAATTTTTGGGCCTTAAAGAAATATATTGATTGAATGATAAAAAAAAAGCTCAAATTATAAGTTCACTTAATTTTTTAGGGTAGCCAAAATCAAATATAAAACATGTCAATGATAACATGACTATAAATAGAGATAAACTCCTTGAGAGTGATGTAAGCCATTTTTTTTGTTTGATGTCAGCGCTTCCCTCGTTATTCATTCTGTCTGAAACCCTAATCTTTAACTCGATCTTACGACAAACTCGGCGAGATTCAATACAAAACAAGTGTTTTACAGGAGATTTTCTCCCGATAAAGGCTTAAAAAATAAAAAATAAAAACATCCGAGAAATGTTGTTTGTGTGGCCAACAGTAGTGATCGAAAAATAAATATTCGTCTCGATTTCTTAATCTGTGTTGCTAAATCTTAACAGATCGGTCAAAATCGGGCAATAATATTACAAATCTATGAAGAGCTGAAATATTTTTTGTTAAACATAGTTTTTATTTTTTATTATTTTCAATGATCTGTGTCGTTTTTCGAAATTCTTTGTGAATAAGCTTCAAAGATATATCATATTTTATACATAATTCGAAATTATTTAGATGTTTTTCGAAGTCGTTTTTTGAAGAGAACATGACATTGGTCGAACTTTTTCAAACTTTTATGTATTATGTTCAGGGTTTGAAAAAATAGGTAAGTTTCTAACAGATCTGTTCAGCTCTACTAACAATTATATAGATAAGTTTATAACATATCTGTTCATATCTGTTTATAACATACATATGTAACTTTTATATATTTTGTTCAGATTTTGAACACTATATAGTTCAATTCTTTCTCGTCTTTCTCATCATATCAGTAAGTGAAGCTTTGCTAACACTCGTTCAAAATCGCTTTTCGAAGTTGTTCAAAGTCTTTTGCCGAAGTTTTTCAAAGTTTTTAGTGTTTTGTTCAAAATTTGGAAATATTAGGTAAGTTTATAACAAATCTGTTTAGATATATTTGTCGCATATTAGGAATTTCTTGTTTAATGTTTAAAAAAATCTGTATGAATTTTTATTTTTAAAACTTTTACGCAAAAAATCGATTTTAATATAAAGGCACATGTCTTGGTAAAAGTTAGGGAATAATTCAAAATTAGTCCCACAGGTATACGGGAATGCAGAAAATATGAATAGTCCCACAACTTTTAAAATGATCAAAATTAGGATTTTTTCATCGGATTTACTATTTCTGGCCCGGAACGCCACGTGGCGCACACGTGGCTTATTTTTTTATACGCTGGCATCCGACGTAGATAGGAAAAAATTCAAAACTAGTCCCACAAGTATAGGGGGGTGACATTTTTTGTCCCGATGGAATGCAGAAAATTCAAAACTAGTCCAACAACTTATAAAAAAATATGAACACGTCGAATGTCAGCGTGTAAAAAATAAGCCATGTGTGCGCCACGTGGTGTTCTGGGCCGGAAATAGTAAATCCGGCAAAAAAGTCATACTTTTGATCATTTTTTAAAAGCTGTGGGACTATTCATATTTTATGCATTCCGTTGGGACCAAAATTATCACCCCTTATACATGTGGGACTAGTTTTGAAATTTTTCCTAAAAGTTGAATGTGTTGATAATGATAGAGAAATCAAATTATTTTTCTTTCTATATTGTATTGTGTCCAATAATATTCCACATAATTTGCTGTGTTTCTAATTTTGATTTTTTCATATAGATTTGAATTTTTTTGTTGATTATTAATTATGTTTGATATTTCTATATTATACAACAATCTTCCATTATATACAATGTCTTGTCAATTCTCATTCTTTGGCTTTGCCAATTTCTGTTTAATATGACTTTTATGTTGCTGAAAGTATGGTTTTTAATGCATTAAAATATTGATGTTTTGGTTATGTTTTGAAGCTATAATCATGCAGAAATTTGTCCTGCCACTTTTTTTCTTAAAGAGGAATTGTTTAATGAAAAATAATCATATTTATATTTATAATTGTGAAATAATATTTTTTTCACGGCCAACAATTTATTTTTAATGAAAAATATGAGACAATTTATTCAACACAATTTTTAATTTATGAAACAGAATGTTGATTGCGATAATCAAACCTGCAGAAATCATGCATTTTATTGAATAGTAGTAATATAAAATATTTTATTATTACTATCAAATGGAAAGTCAAAGATAGTTAATTTTGCACTATTAACTATGATCATATGGATTTTTTTTATACATATGTTTTTTCAATGAACTTTTTAAATGATAATATTGACAATATAGACTTTACTATAATAATTATATAGATTGTGCTATAATATTAATTTATTTATTTAATTCATTAATTTCTTTTAATTCATCTTATTATGCGTATAGTCTAAGTTTATAAATTATAGGTCATTTGAATGTATCTATACTACTAATTTATAAGGTTTTACCATTTGGGGCAGCTAAATTTTTAATTTTAATTATGAAACTAATCTTTCTTATCATTTTGCAGCTATATGTTTGATGGAGTATGGCTGGAATTACAAAAAAAAATAATTTTATTTTTTATATTGTAATGTAACATGATTTGTATTATAATGTTTGTATTTAATACATTTATTAATATTTTTTATAACTTTAATTGCTTATTCAATTTATAATGGAATAAAAAAATAATAATATATAGTTTATGTACATCAATAATGACTGTCACGTTTATATATAAAAATGAGAATAAGAAACATAAATGTGAGATTAACTAAAAAAAAACCTTTTTAAATTAGTCATTAACTAATTAAGTTTAACTAAAAGAAATATTTTTAAATGTGATATTAGTGAGTAATTAATTAAAAAAAATATAACTCCTTTTGAAGGGAAAGTAAAAATATTTTTATTAAATGTTTTATTAAATGGGATTAGCTAGTAATTATATATATATATAT